GTAGCCGCTCGTGCAGCTCAGAGCCACATCCATGTCGACGTAGCGGCAGCTTCGGCGCACGTAGGCAGTGTACTCTCGGGGGTCCATGAACGACCAGGCGGCCGCGACCAAGCACGCTGCGACCGAGCTCTTCCACGCATACAATCGCGTGTACTGCCGTGTGACACAGCTGAAGAGGTCGTTGGTGATGTAGACCAGCCATGTGAGCTCGGACGAAGCCAGGAGAGTCGGAAACCATTCTGGCGCCGACACTTGAAAGCGAGCACCGACGCCAAATGCCAGGAGCTGCAAGGGCGGTGTGTTGAGCAGCCAAAGCGCCGTGATACCTCGGATGATGAGCAGCGTCCGACCAATCCACGCGTGGCCAACCAGCCGATTCAGTTCAAAAAGGTTTGTACCTTCAATGTAGCCGCGGCAAACAAAGATGGCGTAGTAGGCAGCAACCCCCGCACCCACCATCATGGCGCCTGTGACGTACCGCACGCACTGCTGACAGATGTACGAGAGGCGTGTCGGGATCGCAGCCTCCGTGAGAGAAAGGCTTGAAAGGGTCGTGTAGTGGGACATGGCCGTGACCGCGCCGCCATCGCCCTGAAACGAGACAACTTCGCGCTGACCGACAACCCACTCGGCCAGATAGTTCCAGCCAAAGAACGTCCAGGGGCGGTCGGTCGGATCCAGAATATTGATTCGGTACAGCTCGATAGCGCCGCTGCGGTCGATGTACTGGGTCATTTCAATCGAGAGAGATCGGGTGTCGGTCTCGGCTGCAACTGCCAATGCTTGGAGCGTTGCTGTATCTGGAAAGTAGGTTGTTACGTAGGTGTAGGACGCGCTGTAGATGGCCTCGCAGTTGGGCTCGGCGTATAGATCACTCGCACAAAAAGCGGCGAAGTCGAGCTTTGGCTGAAGTCGATGGACGGCGTCAAAGCCCGCGAGGGCAAAGACAAGACCGGTCCTAGATGGGGTAAAGAAGTCCCGGTACCCCCAGCCACACACCGTATCGATCGAAAAGAGAGCAAATAAGGCGTTGGAAGGCGTGGTTTCCGGCAGGTCACTGCCGCACATGAGGTTACCCCCCACGAGGCGCACACTTGCATCATTGAGGAGAGCCTGTGGCAGCTGACCAATGTATGTCTTTGCCGGCAGATTAAGGAAGTGCGCCTGTGCTTCAAGGTTGGTGCTAGTTGCAGTCGCGATCGTGTGCAGAACGTAGCGGTAGAGCGCAAGCAGCGACGCTGGACAGCTTACGTACACCATGTCGACAGCGCCAAATGGGCCCAGAGATGTGTCATAGAGTGCCAAACCAGCGTTCAGCGGCGACGAGAGCGTCAGGTTCTCAAAGAGCAAACTCGCGCGTGTCGCATTCGCAAAGGCAAAGTGGGGACTGTTGCGCAAGAGCGACAAGCCACCGGCGCAGGTCGCATTATTGCTCACGGCCCAGAGGTCGCTCGCGAGTCCCCAATACATGCGATGGGACGTCTGGTAGTCGAGGTGCACGATGCCTCGGCGCTCACTGATAGGCAGACTGTACGAGAGACCGAACGGCGTCGAGATGACCATCGAATCACTGAGACCCGTGTCTTTGAAATTTTGCCACTGCAACAAGAATACCGAGATG